GGGCTGCCACCATGCCTGACCAGCCACAACTCCAGACTGACACAACATGTACGGTTTCAATGCGAAACTTAGGGTTACCACAAAGTATTAGCTATTTTGGTGGCAAGGATTCGAACTCCCCCCTTGTCTGTCCGCGGCAGTTGTGAGTAGTTGGTCATCAACCAAATCGGCTATCGATGTCTTCGACGCTATGAGCTCTTATTCAAACGGGGTCATTTTTATTCGTTACAATTCTTCTTGATATACTGATGACCCGAAGATGTGCCTAGGACATCTGTGTTGCATAAACAATTTTGCGCTCCTTTGTATTCATACTTAAAATATGGGGATTTATTAGGCCATCTAAAAAGTAAATTTATAGAGGGGTATCTAAATATATTGATTCCACGCCATCTATGTTTTGGGTCCGCTTTTTTTGCAGAAGTACTTCTTATCAAAAAGTTAATACTCGTTAATCCAGGTCGTACGATAAAGACAGATTCTCTAAATATCTCGACTCCAGCGCCAACTGCCGGCACAATTTGTTGTAAAGGTATGTTTTATGATACAGAGTATCCGACGTCGTTCGGGGTGAACAAATAAAAATATAAAACAGTAAGAAAGTTTTTCAGTTTACTACAAATTGAAGGAGACAGACTATTTTTCTTATTTAATTTAAGGCCTCCTTATGAAAAATACTTAAATTTTTTGTTGCGGTGTAGAGGCATAAATACTATTCAGACATCCAACTCGTGAGCATTCCACATATGTATAATCACATGTCAAAGCAAAGTATCAGAGAATACTGATACTTAAATTAAAATGAAAGGTCTGCGGAAATAAATATGACTCCTTACATAAACACATCTTCTGCTTTGCCGCATCCAGAAATAATTCTTGCTGCTTTTATTTTGGTCATTATTTTCTTTACTAAAAATCTTGTTTCATTATTAAGGTTAGGTAGATTAAGGTACCTAAGGAAAAATGAAATGCGCTTTAATTTTTAAACTGATATTCTCTGAACGTAGACGGCATGCGTGGTGGGAGGTGCTACGACATCTTGCAAACTCTTGTTCCTGTTTACTTTACAACAGGTCATTCCGTTCAGGGGCGGCGAAACGCACTCTGCCCGGGTGGGTAGTTCTGCTGGTGGCCAGGGTATACAGGTAAAGAAAATAGGTTGTCAATGTAATTGAGAGGTTTCGTGGGAAAAACTTTTCATACATACTATGTACATATGTATGTACATATGTATGTATATATACATATCATGGAAATTATTATTTGATAAAATTTCGAAAAATTTTTATTTCTGCAGTGAAAACATAAATGAAGTCGTTCATGAGGATTTATAGATCTAACTTATCAACTGCTTCTGTATAAGAATGCAATATTGCTACATGGTTGAGGTTTTTGGTGCATTGTCGAGCGAAAATAATTTGTCACCCTACGCAAAACATACGCATGATGACCCTGAAAATGTAACAAATAATCTAATGAAGCTTACATATTCAGGAACAAGTCCCACACACAATTCGTTTTCACGCAATAATTGCACAACATCTTTCACAGATCGTGGATTTTGCTCTTTGCGCCTCATTATGCACACAGCCATATATTTATCGCTATTAAATCTGCACTTGTCAAAATCACCATTATAAATCGACAAGATTTTCTAATCTACTGTCTCACCAAGAACTAACTTTTCTACAGTTTTATAAAACGTTGCCGATTCAGTATCAAATCTACTTGTCAGGGAGAAAATAACTTCCGAAAATACTCCTCAGGTGGTAATACAGGATTTTCAATTGGACTTATTTTTCTTCTAAAAAATTTCTGGTGGGTAATACTACCCACGTATTCCGCCGCCAATGATTCCGTTTAGCTGTCTGTAATGGGTCCAAGGTTATGGTTCTCTAACCGAACTACATCTATTGGAGGTGCCACACCTCCGGCAAACACTCACTCTCTTTCAGTTTACTATAAACGCCACGCCATCTTCTCACCAAATTTCAAAGTCATGCGAGTTAGGAGTCCGAAGATATAGCAAATGTGAGATTTCACGGCTATGGAATGTGTCGCGGCCCCTTATATAAAATCACTCATATTTACCTCGCTATAAGCGCCTACTTTAGTTATGTCTTCACACTAAATTTCGAAGTCATGTGACCTATCGTTCCTAAGTTATAGCTGATTAAAATTTGACACCTGTAAGATGTTGCACGCCCCCTTTAACAAATTTATTTATGTATGTGGATACTTTAGTTTGAACATCTATCATAGATCTATCTTCACACCAAATTTCAAAGTCATGTGACTTACGGTTCCGAAGTTTCACGCCTATAGGATGTGCCAAGCCGCACTATGGGACGACAGCAGCCAAAAGTCAAAAAACCAAACGAGCTAATTTAAAAAAAAAATTGGTATGTATATTTATTACCTAATATCCTACTAAGTCAGATCAAAAAGAATTTTTGGAAAAAATGCAATTTTGTAGCCACAAGGTGGCTTCAAAGTGGATGCAATGTAAATGAATAAATTTTAAATACAAGATTTTGATTTTGAGTGATGTATTTTAAGTAGGCTTTTTTAGGAACTTGACAACCATTTAGTCAAATGGTATTTGTGCATACTTTACAAGTGTCTCTATGTTGTGGTAGTATACTTTAATTTTTGTGTTGCCTGTTGCATAACCGAGATAGTTTCAATTAAAATTCGGCTTAGTTTACAATTTATAAACATTTCAAAACGGAATCTTTAGAGATCAGGATTTAAAAGGGACCTGAGAAGCGAGATAAAATAGTAATACAGGAATTTGGACGCAAGTATGTGTGTGAAGTCTAAAAAATTTCAGCTGCGAAAACCTGCGAGCTTGTCTTATATTGCATTTTTTGTAGTGGCACCTCTCGTTAAATTTGGTGATATTTTTAAAGTTTGGGTGAAAGAAAAAAATTCCAATCGAACCAATCAAGAATGTGCAATAAACAATTTTCTAAAAACAAAATTTGGAGACTCTAGGAAGGTAAAAAAATATAAAATTCGACGACCGGTTGCAACATTCAAGCAAAAGTTGACAGCAAGTTCTCGGAATAGATCAATTTTTGAGAAGAAGTATTCAGATTGGCTTCAGACAGAGTTTGTTGTGCAAAATCTAGTACCCATTGAGGTACACAATGTATTCCTTGTGACGCATCTGCATTTTCATTTTATTACATGTAAATTATTTAATGGCTTGACTGAGTCCTGGATCGTGTTCTTTTTTAGATAACTTCTGCACACGTGGGAAGGCCGTATGTGCCTTATGAAATGGCTTCAAATAGCACAAAAAGAAGAAGGGTTCAAGATCTTGTTTCATCAAAATCGCCGGAAGAACTTACTAAAGCTGCAAAGAAGATCGAAAAATCAATACACCAAGGAGACGTAGACTGTCTTTCTATAAACGACGCTTTAGGGCTTTTCTTCGATTTAAACTTATCAAAGAAAAAGTATAATACTTTGCGATCAGTGGTAAACAGAATTCACAAAGACTGTTTTTCCAGTTATTATGCTCTTAAAATAGGCAAAGACGAAATGATCCCAAACCCGATCACAGTATCCGAAACGTCAGCAATTGATCACCAAAATACAATGACACTACAACTAGTTCAAAATAAAAAATAAAGATCATTTATTGCTTTGAAATATTATCTAAAGAATAAGTTTGGATTTGACAAAACTTTTATGTGGATGTTGGAGAATGTGCATCATATTTCAAATATATGGGCAAATCTAAAAAACAGGTAACCTTGGTGTTATTTAGCTTCACTGTTGGAAACTACATCAAGCTGGTTGCTTTTGGATATAATTCATTGACTTATACTTGAAGTCTCAAAAAAGATTTGAATCAATTTGCTGCATAACTTTTGAATTATAGGTGTTTAAATTTAAAAAAATAATGAAAACAAGTGAATTTTTTATGTAATTTGTAAGAGGGATGGGCAAAATTAATTATGTCATAACTTTTGAAGCACTCCATATTCTCATTTGAAATTTAATGGACATTTAGCACTTATGTGTATACTTCATATGTAGTAGGTAAGAAAAGTGTGAATTAAAAAATAACGA